TATAGCGTGTCTTCATATTTTCAAGAAAGTAGATGGACAGAATATGGTTGCAAAAGCAGTGGACTTCAGTGGAGGAGGACAAACACAATAATACAATTTCCCTGGGGAATTTCTAATAGAGACATGTGAATTAATACATCCCATTATTTCTCATCTTTCATCATATATAGATGGGGAAACAAACACAAGATAGTAGCACAGTATACTTTCAACTGGAATGTTGTCCTGATAAATGCAAACTGACACGCAGTTTTAATTTGTTTGTTCTTGACTGGGAATCACAGCATGCAGAATCTTAATGAGCCATAGGGTAGCGATCACCAACCCCAGACACGTTTTATCTTGCATTGTGTTTGCTGCTTGTGGCAGGCCTTTAATTTGGGTATATTGGTACCCCACTCTGAGACAGTTTTTCAGTGGCTTTGTAAAGGTATTAAGGTTATTACTGCATGCTCATGCTGTTGCTGGACAGTAGACATTGAAGTGATTCTGATGCAGCTGAGTGAATTTGTTCCTCTGTGCTCTGAGAAGCCAGTAAATAAAACCTCACTTACCACAGAAGCTTTAAATAAGGCTGTTCGATAAGAATCCTGTTTTCACAGAGGTTAGGTACCATTTCCAGTTTTGTTTGGGGCTGACTTGGGGTTAATGTCAGGATTCTCAGTTGATAACATTTTGGAAAGTGATCCTTCCATCTGTCTGCCCCATGGCAGAAATCTGGCAAGATCGGTTTTTCTTGAGACCCTCTGGAGCCATTTTGCTGTTTGGTGAGAGCTGTCACTGTAGTGTCCAACCAGTTCGCCTCAGAGCTCAGCGTAGAGGAGGATTTGGCTCAGTATTGTATTATATCCTGGCTCCACCAGGGAACAGCTACTGAAATTAGCTGTTGGTTCAGTTTGTTTCCCCACTTGACTTCTCCCTTTAGCTAGCCTTTGATACAGGCCTAGTTGTTCTTAGTAGATGCCTGCCTTCTTGAATTTCCTATACTCGGTAAGAGAAAATTCCTGCCAGCTTAGAATCAGAATTTTTCATTTTATCTTCTCAAGCTCTGCCCATAGTTTGGAGCAGGTTTCCAAGATACAGAGGAGGAGGAGTACAATTTGACTGCGGAACTGAAATGTCTCTGTTGCTCAGAGCTGTTCTGGGTGCTGTTACATAGGCTGTGTTCTAACACAGTTGTTTTGAAAGTAACTCATCTCCTTGCAATCCCTTTACTGACTCCTTTGTTGTAAAAAATACAAACTGCTTGTCTTCACTCTCAGAGACCTCCATTCCTAGTGGAACCATGTGGGTGATCTCTCAAAAGAATGGCCAGTGGTCAATATCTGCTTCCCATCAGCCTGTCATGACAGCAAACATTGCTCACTCATTACCTTTTCAAGCCTATTTGTGCTTCCTCACAAGCTACGCTCACACTCAAGGAGGAACTCTTCATCTACATGCATCACTATTTCCTTCATGTCTTTCAGTTCCCCATTAAAAGTCTCATTTGTCTACAAAAATCTGATGATTAATGGTAGACTGCTGGCCACTGTTGACTCGTTTCCTTCTAAGTTGCTGTCAGTCTGTTGTCTGTCTTTCTGTATTTTTTCATAAGTTTTAGGTGCAGAAAAAGGGAAATCAGGTCTTTTTTTTTTCATATGTTTGTGAAACTCAAAATATGACAGAATGACTGGAATTTCTAGGCTGTATGCATGAAAAATACGGTAAATGACAATATGGCGTATCAGTCCACAGAGCAAGTTAACTTTACGTATTCAAATGCTCAGTTGTAGTAAATGAACAGAACTGCTTCCAGTTCTGAAATGCAACTCTAGCCCAGGGTGTTTGCCTTCTAAGTTATTTTTTTTAACAGAAATCCAGATGATAGCAGTTTAAATAAAGTACTGAACTCATCTATTTTACTCTTAATTCATAGTGGCACTTAGGGGATGTGCAGATATTTAAAAAGAGTAAAATCAATTAACTTGTGATCCAATTATTTGCATTAGCCACTATGGGGTTTTATTTTGGAGCACTGGATAGACTCTCCCATTTCAGCACTGTGCTTTGAGTATGTGAACTTATCATTTTGAAATAATGAACCTGTGGTTATATTTTCTCTGTTCACAAAAGTAAGTCCTATTTTTGTCCTTTCATAATTTTTAAATTCCCTTCTTTACTTTTGTTTTTGAAAGGGACTCATTATGAATATAACAGATTTTTCTAAATACTAGGAAGTTGTTCTTTATATAAAGGTGACTGAACAGGCAGAAGAGTTCACCTTCTAGATAATATACATTATACTTTTCTGGGCCTCTCTATTTCATAACAGATATTTGCCTTTTGCAATTACAAACCTGTGATTTACTACACTTTTCATGTTAGAAATTTAGAGGAGACCCATGTGACAGCTTTTGTGATTTGATCATTCTACTTTTTCATTGATCTTGAACAGATTTTAGTCTAATGTTCCAGACAGCTTCAAACACCCTCTGTATTTATATGATCGTTTCTAAAATGCCAAGAATGCTAGGGGTGAGTGTACCACTGTGCTTGGATTTATTTGGCTTGGCACAGCTTTTGCCTGTAGACGTTGTCATTTCCTTGATCTGCAGGTGTCAGAAGCTCTGCAGTTTTATGCCCCCAGCAAGTCTACGTGCCCTTTCTGCACTACTGACTCACTGCAATTGGAGCTACCGAGAGCCCTTCCTAAATAAGAAGAAAATAGGAATGCAGAAGAAAGCCAACCCCAGCTGAGATATCCTTGAATCAGATAACCTTAACTGACATTCAATATTTTTTGAACTAGCTGGCACATCATGGCAACCTTTTTCATCGTAGTCTGGCACTGGTGGAGTAAGCAGAATAAATTTGTCTCACTGGCTTCACAATTATGTATCTAAATAACATAGCCAAATCTTTAAATATTTTACCCTAACAGGTCTTACTGATCTAAGGTGATCCAGGGAGTGTTGAACACCTAATTGAATCATACTAGTGGATTAAGGATAAGATTTTTCAGAAGGATCAATATGAATTAGGAGCAGATGCCCAGTCAAAGTTAAGGGTTAGATTCTATAGGATTAGGTTCCTTGAGATCTAGTCACCTTTTTACGTAGCTACGTAGGAGCTGTTTGGTACACTTGTTGGGAAAAATTCTGACCCTTATGGTTCTGATGACTCATTTTATACATGGTCAAGCTGAGACTATATGAAATAATACAAAAATATCAATCAGGCTAACAGTTTATTTTCAATTAGAGTAAGAGGTGTCCAAGTGTGCTTTCCGGTGACAGCATTTTGCTGAGCAGGAAGGAATACAGTCTTGCTATCACTCCTCTATTATTTCCAAGATTCTTAATAGAGCATTTCTTTTCATTTGTTTCAAAGGAAGCAAAAATATTGTTATATTGTCATTTAGAGTTAATTAAACTGCAAATGAGCTTAATGATCTGTCTGAAACAAAGCTCAATCACAACCTGTTACATATTAACTATCAAAATCAAAACAATCTTTAAATTCTTTGTTAAATATACCAAAGAAGATAGAATAGCCAATTGTTAATGTCATCCTTTTATAAAATCAGTTTTGAGGATGGAAAGCTTGAACTGAATGCATACACTCAAATTATGCAGCCAAGCTGAGGAAGGGTTTGGAAACACAAGTCAAATCTATTGGAAGGAATTAAACAAAAAGATAACTGAACACATGAAAAGACACAGCTGTCTCCTCTGTGTTTTACTATGAGGAAATCATTTTACCCACTATTTGTCCAGATTGTGAAATTTATATATTAATAAAATACCATTTTCTGGATTCAGTATTCTCACAAAATCTTCTGTAGTGTTATGACTTCATGTGATCTGTGAGTCAGAGCAAAAGACATTTAGTTGATTCAGGTCTAGAAGGCACCTGGGTGAATTTTGCCCTTGAGTGATACATTGTCACTGACAATGTAGCTTTTAAGCAGCGCACGTAGGGCAAAGCCTGTTTGTGTCATTAAAATTTGTAATTTTGGGCTTTTGAAGGCTTAATCCCTAGAAATGCTAAGATTTCCTAATGATCTGTAATGGTACTGCTGACATTCAGCACTTCTCAGGATTAAGTATGTTATCATTCTGGTTTATCCACCTATAAAGCAGGTATTATCTTATCACTCTTATATACAGTGCTTTTAGCGTGTCAGCCTCAAGTACTTGAAAGGTGGGGAGTATTATTAAGCTTGACCCTTACAAGCTTTTCCAATCGTTGGCTTAATATTTTTCCTACATAAATAAGGATGAAGTTATACAGTGTCTGGATAGTAAACTAGAATTTTCGCATAGGGCTTGGCTAGCTGAACAGTACAGCAGTGCAACAAACTTCACAAGGTCATAAAAAATTCTTCCACTGAAAAAACAAAGTAACACTGATTTTTAATCATGCAGACAAAGTGGTAGCAGGAGGTCCAATTATTTCTGAGTCTCTTAGAGCAACCCCTCCAAAAAAACGGTATGGGACCACTTCTTGTGAAAAATGTTTTATGTATTGATAACGGTATAGTGAAATAGTAGTATGGGTGGGATAATGAAAATAAATCTGAAATGCAAAACTGTAAATAATAGTACATTTGAGGGCAAGAATGGCCTATATGTCAGCTTCCTTTTCTGCTTAGCTAGGAGTATAGTTCCCTTTCTGATAGCATATCCACGTATGCAACACTCTATATATTTCCAGGATTCACTTTTCCAGTAATAGGAGATTATCTGTCCTCTTGTGGTCAGATTCTTCCAAAGCTTGATTCCTTTTGCATTGCTGCTTGTCTGCCATCTGTTAAATGGAGAGCAGCTGTGATGTGCTACCTTATATTTCATGAGTGAGAATGTATTATTCAGAGACTATAACATCCAGTTTCAGTCAAGGATTATATCTTTCTCCTCTTGTGGTAAATAATTAATGTTGGCTTGGGTATTTCATATGTGTGTGTATGATCATTAATTGAAAATAGTAACAATTTCCTCTATGTTTTTTTTTTCTAGTTTCAAGCCACAGTAAAGGAGGGAGTCACAGGTGTAATAGTAAACTTAACTGTTGGTGACCAAGATGACCCAGCAACCGGAGCATGGAGAGCTGTCTACACTATTATTAATGGAAATCCAGGGCAGAGTTTTGAAATCCATACCAATCCCCAGACTAACGAGGGAATGCTCTCTGTTGTCAAAGTAAGAACAATTTGCTGGTTTACTGTATTATTACTGTAAGGTCCACCCACTGGATTTACTGCATAAGAGAAGGCACAGCAAGGATAAGTTACTCAAAAACATGTAGTTGGCTACCAGCCCTTGTCCAGACAACGTGTATAACCCCTTCTTCTGTCACAGTAACCTTACTACTTTAGTCATAAGGACTTGCCAGTTGCTATCTATGTTGCCATCGTGCTTAAGTAACAGTTTTGCAGTGAGCATAACTTTTAATAGCGAGACTTTACAACAAGGTTTTGTTTGTGACTGAGGGTACAATTAGAATTCAAGGGCAAAATTTTGCTCTCGGAGAACGCAGGTGCAAATACCAGGGAAGTAAGGGACATGGCTTCAGACAGAACTGGAGAGCTGTCTTTTGTCCCACATTTTGAAAATGTAATGAAAAAAATTATTGTCTGTCTTTGTATAAAGATAATCCTATATCTCGCACTTTAAAAAAGAACAAAAATAGCCCTGGTTGCTGCCTGTACCAGAATTTTCTCTGACTTCATAAGAGGCTTTTCAATTCTTACACAAATGGCGTGTGTTTCCATGGTGGTGCTTTTGATTTCAAGGTAGGATTTGAGAAAATAGCCTTATGTTACTTATCATAAGTAGCCACTAAGTACGACCGATTTATCTGCTAAATGCATATTATAAATAACCATGTATATATGAGAATTAAATTATATGTATGAGGTATGGCAAAAAGTATATGCTCTTGGTTAGAAGGACAGCTCCATCTTTCATCAGGTCCATTGAGTTCATTATCTTGAAGGTACTTTATAACTACACATATGTCTAATGCTAAACTCTGACCAAGTAGCAGATGCGATGAATGCTGTTGCCTCTTCTGGCTAATTCTATCTCCTGAGAGTTTGCAGTGGGGTACAAGGAAAAACTGTTAAGTACTGTCTTTGCACCTTGCACTCTGATTTGATGATATGTTTTACAGCCTTTAGACTATGAGATTTCGGCGTTTCACACACTGCTGATCAAAGTAGAAAATGAAGACCCGCTGATCCCAGACATAGCCTATGGCCCCAGTTCTACAGCAACAGTTCAGATCACTGTTGAGGATGTGAATGAAGGCCCAGTTTTCCACCCAAACCCAATGACAGTGACAAAACAAGAAAACATCCCTATTGGTAGTGTCGTGTTAACGGTAAATGCCACTGATCCAGATACTTTGCAACATCAGACTATCAGGTGAGTGCAGTACCCTCTAATTTTCATCCATCAGAAAGTGAGTATGTCTTTTGTGCCTGAGAATTTGCCTGCCAGTGCAGAATTAATTTAAAGTTGTTTGGGCTCTACATAATAAGAAGTGGCGTTTTTTTTTTTCCCCTGCAATGAAGAGATTCAGTATGATGAAAACAAAGAACTGCATTAGATGGGGCAGTACTTTTCCAGGCTATGAGATTACTGCTGTAGAACAGTCGAGTGCCATGAGCAATAGACATAGGTTTCAATAGTGTTTCAAAATTACTTTTAACCTGCTTGTTTATTCCTTTTCCTTCCTGAGAGCCAGAGAAAATGTGTATAGAAGTAATTTATCTGTTTTACATATGATTTAAGTCAAGTTATGATAATTTATAATGTCCCTCAGTGAAATAATGACCGTCCATCCGCGTTCAAGGGCTGAGAAAAATTTTCTGAGTGAAACGCTGAAGCTACAGTAACCTGACTTGGCCTTACCCAGATAGATGAAAGTAAATCATCATTTCTGTGCTATGATAATATAATCCCACACATGTGCCAAATTGCAAGGAGCAAACCTAGGTATTAAGTGGTGCAATCATCTTATATTTTGATCCACCTGGTCTGGCCTTTTGTTTTTAGGTTTGCTGAAAAATGAAAGATCAACCGCTTTCTTCTGTAGTACTAAATTGACTTTCCAGAAAGCTTTTCTCAGCATTTGAGAATTGCAGGTTAGGCACTACAATTAAAATCTACATCTGTGTTTAATTCTTCATTCTTACTTGTGAGTCTAATTTCCCCTTGATAGCAATGTATAGAAATGGGCAAAAATGTCTTTGTGAGAATGACTTCAAAGCTTTTCCTGAACAACGTGCACTGCCAATCTATACCGTAGACATAGATTTCTCTGCTATCAGAGGGTTATTTAGCAGTGATTGTGCACTCCTTAAAGAAGGTTTGACATATGTACTCTTCTACAAAAAAAGAAATCTACTGGTCTTGAAGATGTTCTCTGTCAGTAACAAATGTTGGTAACCATGCCATTGCAAAGGACTGCACTGACAGCTGTGGATTCAAATGATGAGAAGGTGAATTTAAGCGGGTGAGTGTGCTCATCTCTAAGGAAGGAGGAAAAATGCAAGGCAGATAATTAAAAGTTTCAGTTCTCTGCATCACCTCAAAAATACCTAGTTAATGGAGTATAAATATTTCCGTTTTTCTCTAGCAAAAATCCCTTTGAGTTCTGCCATTGAGATGTGAGTTTATCTAAAGGATGAATCTCAGCATGTGTCTTTCGCGTTGTTTTATAATTGTATTTGTTTATAGAATGAGTTTTTATTCTTAATTTTACTTTTTGTTCCACAACTCCCATATTTCATTTACTGTGGTCACACAAATTGTTGTCTATGGATGGAAAACCTGTGGAATTACTATTGCTTTTCAGAAACAAGTTATTTGAGTTCTCCATAACTTTATGTATTTTCATGGGGGATAAGAAAAGTTGAATTAATTAATGTAAGAGTCGATTCTGTGATGCTAAAAGAGAAAAGCCAAGAAAATATAAGGATTTGGTTGTCAAAACCGGCAATCCAGAAACTATCTGAATTTTTCCCCTTGACCTACTGATTTTGCTGAGTTTCTCCTCGCTACGTTGACACTGAAATTATAGACCATATCCATGAAAACTCTTAAGTTAGCTTTAATATTATGTGTAACCAGTGAAGTAACATAAATACTTTTTGCAGTCCATCACAACTCACAGCTGGCTGCAAAGAACTCTCAAATCTTTACTATAACTTGCTCATAATCTAAACAGAGTTTTCCCAGAAGTTTTACCATATTTGCATGGCCAAAACTTGAAAGGTTTTTAGCCAAAAGCAAGATTTTTCTTTTCTTACCCTGCATGTGCAGAAAAGAAGAGCAGAAATAAGCTAGACTGGGTTGGGAATGAAGCATGATGATAGATAGAAACTATGTAAAAGGACGTGGTTGTATAAAAAGAAAATAATGCAAATGTAATGGAAATTGGGAAATGGTGGAATGATTCAGGAAAGGCTAATTTGACTACCTGTATGTCCTTTTGCTAAAATAACAGGAAAGCATAAAATAGCATTTTTAAAAGAAGCTTTTAACACTGACAGGTATTATTGAAACACATAGCTACTAGCAATCAAAAAGGAAGACTGTAGTATATGATAACAGTGTCCGCAATTAAGGAGAGTATAAAATTGGATGGATAAAGGCCAAAGCTAGTCTGGGTCTGGCCGAAATGTTTTCTCGTAAGTTCCTACAGGCAGGTGTGTGTTTAGGGTTTGGGCCTAGGTCCAGGACTTTTATAGAGACTGCATACCTAACTGCGTGGTTCTCAGACTATGCTGCTATAAAGTATATCGTCGGAGTCCTTACTATGATTATACTGGTAAAATAAAGGCCAAGCAGGCTCAATACATACATTTAAATGAGGTAGTACACTAAATATCAATGACCACCAGCAAGCAATGTTTTCTGTGTGCAAGAAGCAATGAATACCAGATTTGTATTGGGTGTGCTGTGTGAACAACGTACATCACCCCCAACAAAGTATATATCTGTTAAAAATGTGCAGACGGATACAAACAAAAGAACAACAGAGAACCGGTAATGTTGCTTTTTTTTTATTTTCAGCCTATAACAACTGAGAGATGTCTAACTGCAGGGATATTTTTAGTTAGTTTTCTGTATAAAACTTGTAGGAGAGGCTGATGCTTGTTTGTAATCAGGAAATTTGGTTACTCCACTAGATATAACATCATAAATGCATTTTAAGAACCATGAATAGTGTATAGAAACCAGTTGTACCGTTGTCCACATCTAGATTGGATTTATTCTTTGAACATTGAGTATCTGAATCACATTCAAATTACTTACCTCTTTGAAAAACGTGCCTTTCTTTGTAAAAATTCCTAAAGACAGTTGTACTTTTGGAACAATTTTCTTTCTTATTTTTCAGCTTGAAGTGTTTTTGCAGACTGAGAAAGAATTTAATTTAAAAGCTCAAACAAGCTGGTAAAAATGTATTACACTGAAAAAAATGACTCCGAATATTTGTAAGACTCAGAAGCACGTACCTTGAGCTCTAGCTATTTGTCTGCACATGATTAGCAGTGAACTTTCATCGTGTCAGCTCTTCTCTGCTCTACTGACGTTAACATTTCAAAGAAACTCAAGGTAGAGGTAGAAACATCATCCTGAAAAGAAGAACCACATACTTATATTGACCAGCTAAATAATGTAGGCATCAAGTTTAATCTTGTTCTGAATTATATCTGTTCAAAACGAGGTTGACACTGACTTTTACTACTACACCCAGATCTATGATTTCCTGTGAGAAGTCTGCAATGGGTATAGTGAGCTTTGGACTGTGGATGTTGTAGCAAGGAAGAAGCAGGTGGAAGCAGTTATTTTTCCTGAACACATACCTTTGGGCGGAAAATAATGTTTGTTCCTCTGTGATCACTCCCAGAAAGAAGAGGAACCTGCTCAGGCTGGATCACATTTCTTAGATTCATTAACCTATTTTTTTTTTTAAGTATTTAATTCCCTCTATGGTTTCCAATTTTTTAGAATTAAAAAATGAAAGAAATCCACCAGGCCCCATTTTAATTATAACCCAACAATTTATTAATAGAACAGTAATGAAGTTTCTGAAGTTTGATTTCTTAATCAGGGATCATTGTTATTTTTGTGCCAGATTTAGGAGTTTAATTTTGGGTGCTTCTTCCCAACCTCTGAAATTTTAATCAGAAGTTTCAAGTGTACATGTCAATGAGAAGTTAAAGGCCAAATTTAATAACATTTTCTACCTTGGGAAATTAAAAGAAGAACCTCACTCTCTGAAATCCATTATTAACACTAGATCTTAATTAAACACAGTTAAGATCCTCAATATTTGTCTGTGTGAGGAGATTGGTTTCAGTATTTTTCTTTTTTTTGGATTCAACAAGTCCAGGATGTTCAATAGTTACACTCTTAACTACGTGTAAATAAGTTGTTTACTGCAGTGTATTAGTAATTTTTAATTAAAGCAGTGTTGTTCTCTGGTTTCATGGCTTATTATGGCAATATATTTTTATTGCCTACTGTGGTCTTGGATTTTAAATTATTTATGTAAATATAGTATTGTGGTATTTATTCTCAGTAAGCAAAGTGACTCAATGTTTCAGAAGTATCTTCACAAGGAAAGTTTATTATAGCTGTAAAGTATATCTAATTCATTAAGTAGAATTAAAATGCAGTATCTGAAGCTGGAGAACTTAGAAACAGAACCCAAACTGCAAGGAGTTTCATGGGAATATGAAAGACTGCCAAAAATATCTGAAGCAGTATATGTAAATAAGATAGGTATTTATGTGTGTGTAATTTTTTTATCTGCCCCTGAATCCAGCTGAGCCCACGTAGTATGAGTGGCTTCTGGAAGCACAGGTGCATTGTCTTATTGGTGAAGTCTCAGGTGTAGACATTTGAAAGCCAATTTTTTGCTTGGAAGTTGACATCCTTTTATTTGATTCTGGTCTCCTTATATTGTTACATCATTAATTTAGTGGAATTGCACAAATATGAAACCACTCAATCTCCATTTGTTTGAGATTAACCATTTCAGATTAGAATAGCCTGTGATGGATCCAGCTTTCCAGCTGCCTGTTCACCCGCAGCCTGGACATTCGACTGCTACGGCACTGCCATTGGGCGGGCTGTGTGTTTGATAGCTCTGCTAGTTTGGAAACAGGAGCAAAGTCACATTAATTATTGTCATCATTTCCAAATAACAGCTGCTGGAGTATCTGAAAGTTGGATAGACCATTTCTCTTTACATAAAGCGCATTCTTCCGTACTGCAAACTAAGTGTATATATTAATGAGGCTTCATCCTTGAACATCATACCATGGGGATAATAAGGCTGAACCTAACAGACACTGAAATAAAAGTGATCGTGTTTGTTTATTTGCTATTTCACCAAGAGCCAAAAAGCC